TGGTGTTACCTGAGCATTGTTTGATGGGGTTGTCTGAGGATTGTCTGTTGGTGTTGTCGTAGGATTGTTTTCTGGTATTGTCTGGGGAATTGTCTGATGGTGTTGCCTGAGGATTGTTTGGGGTGTTGTCTGAAGGAATTGCAACAATACAACGTTTGGGTCAATGGAGAGTTCATCAACTGATAATTGTGATTTAAAGGTATATCATTCAAATTGTGAAACTATGACTACGAGGTGGTGGTTATCTCGCGGCAAACAATTCGCCTGCAACGATAACGACACCTTGGTTACTTTAATTGTGATCCGGAAATTGGACTTTTCATCTTTTTGTTTCTTCATCTATTCAAGTCTTCCCTCAAGATGAGTGTAACATGTGGAAAATGCAATATATTAACTCTATAGTATTCTCCTGATGCATCGACAATGAATGTCATTTTTGTGCATTAATGGTGATAGATAAATCGTTGAAATAATTCATTTTTTATGTGTTTCCTGTTAAACTTCATAGGTCATGTAGGGGCATTGATATTAATCTTAATATCTGTCAATTCATCATAGTCTGCTACCGTCAGGTCAACAAAAAGTACGGCATGTATTGTAACTGATTATTTACTGAAAATAGCTGAAATACGATTGTTTCCCCTACATATAAAATGACAAGTTCGAAAATAATCATAAAAAAGCGATAAAAAGTGTCGCCTTAACGTTAAATTCCGTCAGACAAACCACATATTATTAGGTAATGATATTGAAATCAATAAATTTGTAAAACTCCTGGAGCAACGTACATTTTATTTACTAAAATATTATTATTTATTAAACAAGTAGTTAAAATTACGTGTTAATCAACCCTAAATAACCCCTGTTAAACTTTTACAATCTGATTTTAAAGTTGGTAGGAGGTATGAATCCCTTGTATAAGTCACTGGGAAGATTTCCACAAAATTATTCTTTTGGTTAGTGGTATCATTGTTTAATAATTCCACACATTAACGCTCTTTTTAAACTTTGAATACAATTGGTATCGCGTTTTACAATCTACTTGCTTCATAAATATGATTTAAAAACCTTACATGTATTCAATATCAGATAAAACGTCATATTGTAATACGAAGAATCTAGACCTCTTTGCATTGACAGGTCTTTAGCTTACTTTGGATGTAGCTTAAATATATTTGTTTGGTAATGGTATGAAAATTCAAAAATATTCTCTTGGAGCTGGATGTTAATTCAATTTTCTAAGAGTAAAATGCATATTACTATGGAAACTTTACAATCACTGAAAGTGGATTCTGTACCTGTTCCGATATTCCGAGGTCATCCAAATGGACATAAACTTCGATTCACACAAGGTGGCCGATCACCATATGGACTCGAACGTTCAAAATCATTTGGGGTACCTTTTGCTAGAGAGGCATCATTTGAAATTGAGAGACCTCAGGGAAATTCTAGATATGTAATAAATATACCGACATCATATGTTCGTAAACAGAGAAGTGGAACAAAATATTCAGAACAGAGTTTTAATAGGGGAACGACTTCATTACCGAACATTTCTTCTCCATCACCTAGGACGCCATTTTCCAAACCTGTGAAACAAACATCTAAGATAACAGTGATAGAAGGCGAATCGTATGTAAGAGCGTCATTTAGGAAACCAGCCGCGTTACGACCAGCAACACCGATGAACCTTTCCACCGAAAAAGAACGCTGGATCGCAAACTGGATTGAAAAAACGAACAAGGCGTTAGACGGTTGTGAGACTCCTTTACCAGTTATAAGTGAATAAACTCCAAGTCTGATCAAATAAAAGGAGGCCTGTCGTTCATGTAACGTAAAATATTGGTGCTTGGTCAAAATCTTTTGTAAATATGTATAAAATGCAAAAAGTTACAGATAATTTATTTCACCTTGTCATTGAAGGATATGTTTTAAAATGGTGTCTTTATATACCTATTCAACAAAATGGAATATTTATGTTGTTTTTAAATCACTAAAGGATCATTTTTCATTTAATGGAATTTAAATGCTAAATTAACGGTTATTTTAAGATATGTAACCTCAGTACAATTATATTTTACGGATAAAGGTCAGTTGTTATCCAAATCATTAATACAAATGTAAATGTATGCACCAATGTTTAAAAAAATATAAATACATTTATTACATACTTCAGAACGGAGTAACATAATCTAGTCTTCAGCAAAATAATTGTACGGGATGTTGTTATGTGATCAGTTGCTTTTTTAAGAGTGAAAGGGAACAAAAGAAGGCACCAAAGCATGTGAAATGAATCTTCAATGACTTCGTTATTTAAAAAAAGACTTTAAAATGCATAGATTTGATGATATCATCTGAAAGAAAAAAAGCTCTGACATCGAGTTAAAACTATGAAATTATACTGAATTGGTGTCCTCTGCAATGAGACAAATTAATATGTAATCTTTCACCTATGTCTGCAATTCTATATTCAAACGTTTATTCTAACTGTGTGTGTTTATTAAATTAAAAGCATAGCTTAAGTGTCAAATGACCGTATTTTTCTGTTTTTATTGTAATGTATGGTTGTGAATCCCCTATTTGCTGCATGGTACATTTTGTTTTTTGTGTTTTTCCTGGGATTTTTCGGGGGTTATTGGTTGGAATTGGCCTTCAACGTTCCTTTGATTAAGAAATAAAGAAGAGTCATAATGATGAATTCCCAAGTATATAGTTACATATCTTAAATCATATTCCTCAAACCACTGAATGGATGCCATTCACGTCATCTTATCATATAATGTAGGTGTGTATCTTGTAATAGGTTGCATCGGATGAACGTTTAGTAGGAGTCAGCTGGCTCTAACAAGAATGCACTCGTTGTCGTGCTACCCCTCGTAAATCAAAGTATCAGAAAATAGGTGTCTGACAGATCCGAAAAGCCCACATACATTACAAATCATATAACTGTTGAGCTGCTGGTTAAATATGAAGTCACACCGATCAGTGGTTGCTAAGAAAAGTGTGACAAAATATTCACGCTCATTCAACTTTCAACAAAATTCAAAAGTATCGGCAAACTGGAAGTAGGTATCTGACATCCGAAAAGTACCAACGTAGTTTCTGAGAAAAGTGTGACGGAAAATTTGTTGGACGAACGGACGGACAAGGTGATTGCAATATTGTCCCCACTTATAGATGTTACCCTGTACATGCAAGTTGTCGTCCTGCATTTCGGATTCACCAGAAGAATTTCATTTCTGTTGATTACATTTTTTGCATTTGAAATACTAGTGGGAGGGTGGATAAGTGAACAAACAGATCACCTGAATTTTTATTTTTCAATTTAAAGGTTGTTTACTTTTAAACTTCTTGTTAGTTTAAAGTTTAAACATATTTTACTGTTAAAATGGACTGACACAAGTCTTACAACTTAGTTACGTCTTCTCCAATAAACTTTTTGTTATTTTCATACCATGGAAATATTCAGCAAGTTGTGTAGTACCCGTCTAAGTTTCTACACCACGGAGTTGTACTAGGAACATCAGTAACAAATCGATTACGTACCATTAAATGTTAGTAGTAATGGTATGTGTTTGATGTTTTAAAGACTGTGAAGGATTAACCGGACTTGACTTTACAAAAACTACGATTAAGGTAGAGTCTGTTTAATCCATCGCAGCATTCATTTACAACGTTAATGGCATACACTTGAATAGTTTACTTAACCGCGATCATAAAAGGGAGATCTCAATGTTATTTGAATTCTTATAGTTCGTGTATATAAATTACTGAACAACAAGTTCAAAAATTCGAATTGATAGTCCTCTTACTTTGATATATCTTAAAATAACACAATGCCTGCATAAATTTTCGTTTTGACTAATTCCTGATGACGTAACTTGACTAGCTCTTATTTTGAAAATCATTTGAAATGGATTTAAGATTTCGAAAAAGTTATGAACCTCGTAATGTAAAAATGATACTATACAAAGGGGGAGAATTCGTGTGCGACATCCTTTGCAGTATACTAAATACATAATTGTCACTATAGCTAAGCATTAGAATAGATATATTTATTATAACTTAGAAGTAAATACAAGTAAATTTTATGTAAAATACAACAAATGACAATCGTTCTCTATCAGCCAACCGTGATAAAATGGATATTAGACAGGATTGCATAGGCTTTATCAAACCCCAAAATCTTTATTAAGCCAGGTCACGTGAAAAAAAAACAAATAATAAATTGTATATGATATGGATTTTTTCAATACAACACACCCTTTCATATCAAACATACCAAATCATAGCTGAAACTACATTTTATTAAAAATATATGCACATATACTGAATTCACTAACTGTATTCAACATATAGATATATTAAAACAAATCTCGTCTCGTACCTGTGTACCTAATCCGTCGAGCAGAGTGTCTTGGTAATTTGATACGGGTGTGATATTAAAACAGCCATGTTTATGAAAGAACTTAATTTTTACCAAAAAAAAAAATCTGCAGCAGATGCGCATTTCAACAATAAATGTATCTTCAGTGATGCTCGAGGTCAAAAGATTTGAAAACCCAAAACATATCCAAAAATTGAAGAGGCCTTATAAACCAAAAAGGACAAAAAGTATAGCAGAAGCCGAAGAAAGGAACCAAGGCCTGTTACATTCTCTATATATTGTTGGCGATACAGCAAACAAATGCCATGTAAAATCTTGTAAATGAAGTCATGCACGATACTTTTTATGACAGACATTGTCGCTCTGTTGTCATTTGTTCTCGGAGTACCAAATAGAGGAAACCTTAGGTGGAGGGACAACTCATAACAATCACTAAATCGACAAACCTCGGGTGAATCCGCTACTCTCCTTCTATCCTTATATGGAGGAACGGAAACGACCGAGTTTAGACGAGTGGTATAAAAGCTGTCTATTCCACAAATGCATTACTGATTTAGAGATCTCCCTGACCTTAGGTCTCTTTCGTATCAGTAGTCAAGTGCAAGTACAAGTATAATCAAAAACAAATTTATTACATTACAATGTGCTAAAAGTATGATGACATTACATGAGATATATATTAACAAACAAAACAGTAAAAGTTGTATAAAAATCTTGTATAACATGTTCAAACTGTACGGTCTTTCGGGACAATCGTATAACGCACGTACAACCCGTAATACATTCCAGTTGGATCGATTCGGATGGTAGTTTTGCCTTTAATTATTGAAGTGCAGGTGTCAAATCCTGTAACAGAATATAATTTAGATTCCATTATTTTACGTAAAAGTAAAGAGGAACGCATTAAATTAATACCTTAACCATGTAAAACAACATTTCTTTTCCGGTAAACGTCAAGTAGTTGATGTTTGAACTTGCTTGATTCAATAAAAACATCTTAAAACATTATTTTTTCATGTCTATTTTATAAACAAAGTGGATAATAAAAGATTGTTGTAAAATGTTTGACATGAAATGAACAGTGAAGTTAAATGAAGCGAAATAATTATATTATTAGCTTTGAGGACCAACTATTTTCTTATAATAAAAGAAGTGTATTTCTTTATGTCATTAATTCTAATACTTTCTTTCCTTCTTCAACCTTCATGTTTAACAAGGATTTTTATAGTAAGTTTTACTATACAAATACTTGTGTGCATGTAATAATCAATCGAGACAAAAAAAAATACACATCAATTCGGAAAAGAAGAATTCTTAAAGCACAGAAGATCCAAAATTTCCCCTTAAAGTATACATATTAAAATAATAAGATATATAAAGCTAATATTGAATCCGTCTGGAAAGACCTCCTCTCAATAGCTACATTATATTTCGCGATTGAACAGTATATAAATAACACATAGCTGAGAGGGTGATAGAGCAGATTGTTACCCCGAGAAAACATTGTCAACTGAGGCGAAGCCAAGGTTGACAATGTCTTTTCGAGGGGTAACAATCTGCTCTGTCACCCTCTCAGATATGTGTTATTTAATTTATTATACTGAATGTTCTGTTATTACTGTCGATTAAATTTCAAATTCAAAGTAATAAACTATGACGTCTTGTACATAACAACCATCCGTATTTAATAAAGCGCACACTTGATCAAGCGTCTCCGTAAAGGGTAATAGAGTATTTGCCATAGGATAGAGTCGTATTTAATAAAGCGCACACTTGATCAAGCGTTTCCGTGAAGGGCAATAGAGTATTTACCATAGAATAGAGTAAATTAACACCCTCGTATAAGCCAATCAAAATATTGCATTTTTACGTGAAGTATAATAATAAGGAATAACAAACTCTCTTGTAGACTACAATAAATACCAAACGTCACTGTGCATGTTGTCCCAACAGTTTCATTGCATCAATCAAAGACTACAATAAATACCAAACGTCACTGTGCATGTTGTCCCAACAGTTTCATTGCCATCAATCAATTCCTTTGTCGAGTTTACCGACCGACAAAATCCAGTCTGAACTTATTCTAATGTTTTGCATTCGTCGTTGAACTCTAAACTGACGGTTAAGACGAAAAACAGAAATAGAATTGTTGTTTCCTTCCGTTGTACCTTATTTCTGGATGTACATTTTATTTATATATATATATTTGTATATATTTGTAAATGAAAGCAATTGGGTCATAGTGAAAATATGTCCCCGTATTTGAGGTCTTTATTTCCTATATTCTTTATCCAACAAGAACAGAAGCCATGAAATTGGCTACCATCACCTGTTTTAAGTCTTCCTTTGTTAGTATGTCGGTCTGTTGTGTTTATTTTTGCGAAAACCATCATGTTTGAAAACAACCAACCATACATCAGTCTGCTAAATTTCAAAATTGTGTCCGATGTGCTGAACAACAACATATTAATATCGCTGTTGTCAGTCATAGAAAATAGTAAAATCAAACATCGAAAAACACAAAGTCTTCTAAGCCAGCTTGGAACAAATATTGCTTTGATTATAAAATAATGAGATGTGGTATGATATCCAATGAGACAACTTTCTACAAGAGACCAAATGACATATAAATGTAAGTAACCTCATACGGCCATAACCAACGCGCAAAACCCATATACCGCATAGCAAGCTATAAAAGGCCCCTAAAGGACAAAATGTAAAACAATTCATACGAGAAAACCAACAGCCTGATTTATATGCAAAACAACAAACGAAAAACAAATATGATATGCAGCAACAAACGACAACCAGTTGAACCTGCTCTGTGCTTGTTTCGTTTTATCATTTTGTTTCATTATCTATTACATAGAGCAACCAATGACGCCAACTTCATCTCATTTTTAATTACTTATATGCCCTCACTTACTTAACTAAAAGGTTTACTTTAAACATATTGATTCATATAATACGAGTAAGAACTTCGTTAAAGACAAGTCTGCATTGAATTTGCACTAATTATGATATTCTATCTCATCACAGAGGGTTGCACCAATAATAACTAGTGGTATGATTGCTAATGAGACAACTATCCACCAGAGACTAAATGACGTAAAGTAAGCAATTTTATTGAATCGAGACTTTCAATAAAAGGATGTGCCATTTACTTTAATTTTTTAACCATTTTACTTGTAATTGACATACCTTTTCTCGGCGTTCCTAACTTAACCAATTTCTTTTCTTTTAATCTTTTAACGGCATACTTCTGCAGTCCATTCGGTGCTCTAGAGCTGAAGCATAACTCTTTGGTGTCGGAGGTTTGGAAAGTCAAATTCAAATATTTCTTTGTCAATGTCCATCGAATTTCCCCTTTCTTACAATTTTCCCTTATGTTGATATTGTGAGAGCGAAATCTGGAATAATAATAAATTTGTGCCAGCTATAAGATAACCTTCGAAACAAATTTGACCAATATACTTTTTTTTATTTTTTTTTTTTACGACTCAGTGATGGAATAAATGAAACATGACTGGCAATCAAAGAAAAAGGTAAGTGTTGTTGTTGAGTTTAATAGCGGTTTGATATCTTAACATTAAAAAAATATTCAACTCAAAAAAAACTTTTTAGAAAGTCACTTTTTAAACTAAAACACGATTAAAAAATTTTTTCAACACAAAATCGTTTTCAGAAAGTAACTTCATTTTGAAACAAACATTTGACACTATATTTAACACAAAACAAATAAAAGGGGTGCAAACGTGTAGGATGCGAACGGACCCGGGGTGCGAACGTGTAGGGTGCGAACGTGAAAGGGGGCGAACGTGAATGGGAGCGAACGGACCCGGATTCGTGTAAGTTCCGTTCAAATTTGCCCGATGTCGTTTTCAACTGACAATGTATGCATGTACCAAGCCAGAGGATAAGATTTTTTCCACGGGCTTAGCCTATACTGGGACATAATATACTATAGTCCCAGGCCTATAGCGCCTCAATATTGTGCAGTATTTTTTTTCACTCTCAAAATTAACTTCAGTTTTGTACTTTGTCATTGCCTTTTCATAAAAGACTGTATAACCATAGACTGTTTCAAGAAATTTACCAAAACGGATGTTAGCCACATAGTTTTCTCTTTTACCTTGTAATTCTAGTCGAAGTATTTTTATTTAGCACAATAAAGCAAGTATAAAAAGAGAAAAACTTACCCGGAAACCCTCTGCTTACATGACTGGATTTTCAAGTCTTTTAAGTTCCGCCTAATTACTGCACCGTTTAAACATATGATTGAACAAGACATCAGAATACAGATGCGAAGGATACACATTTTAAGTCTCTTCAAAACCTTGAATTGAAATAATCGTATGTTTCAGTAAACAATATATTTATATAAATCCCGACAACATTTGTCAACGTCAGTTCATTTCGTCATGTTTATGTTGAACAAGTTGTTCGGCTTTGAAGGTACAATGTTTCTCTTGACATTAAAATATTGACATTCCTGGGTTTCACCAGGGAAAAATAAGTTAAGTTCTAGGAATCAGAATATCTATACTTTTCTATGTACGTTTTATAAAAATTTATAATTCGTGATATTTTGTATATTACATGTTTCAAAAGATCGTATTTGTTAAAAATGTTAGAATTTAAAAATTGTTAAAACCAAACCAAGCTGAACAATAAGACCCTAACAATCACAGTTTGGGTTCCCAAAACATGCATTTAATTTGTTTGTGTTGCATATTAAATGAATGCTACTAATGTAACATTTGGAAAAATTTCACGTCACACTGTTAGGTAATGGAAATGTAAATATAGTGAAGGTAAGTCAGACAGCAAACCTTAAAATATTTGAAATTTATCAAAATGCCGAACACGTTTTGGCATAATGCCTTTTGCTTTGCATTAACTTAAGGACTAGTATTTAACCTTAAATCAATATTCCTTGTATTGCAGCTTATTAGAATACTTATTTTGCTATAGTAAAATAAAATCAAACGAAAGTTGTGGTCCTCTCTTCATCGTCCTGCATCTGTTTGCCAAGTTCTCTCGCAGATCAATTTACTTCACGTCATACACTTAACTTGCTCTTTCTCTGTTGCATTTCATGTTTATCATTTATTTCTACATCCTTGGCTTGCAACGGAGAAGGGTATGATAAGGCTGCTTGTATGGCCCCTTGCATTCGAATATTAATAAGCATTATAAATCTATTAAATATGTTTAGATGTTCACAAGACTATGTATCAATATCAGGATTTGTATTTGCATTATTTATTTTAGGTCTTAAAACTTCTTGCATTTCATGCAAAAGTTCAAAATCTCCCATAATAGCCTCACTTAGGGATCTTTTCTTTAATATTTGGGTACGAGCCAAGGGTTTATCCAAAAAAATATTTTGCCTTGTGAAGAAAGGATGTAACTGTGGAGAAAATGACTTTTTCAGTATTATGGATGACTATTTGATTTTCCTGGTTAGGAGAGTCAGGATATTTTTGGAAATGAATATGATGGACTGGTAAGAATGGATAATTAATAACCTTGGCCAAGATAAAATGCAGTAGCGGGTCCAAAATTTGAGGTTAAAAGAGGCGTGGCGCAATCCTAAGAATTTCGACGAGTGGATAGATGCGAAATTGTTTTTGACGTTTTATAATACAAAAAGAAATATTGTTTTCGCCTATATTACTAAGTACTCCGTCCTTAAAAATTCCCCTAGTAATAAAATGTTACTGGTACATATATATATTCTTTTAAATTCTAAGATAATAAAATTATTCAAAATTAAGTTAGAGGATATTCTAGTGGGGGGTGGGGGGGGGGGGGGGGGGGGGGTGGGATATGAAGATTTTTTGTGAATTGGATATTCATTTTCAACGTTCACATCTATAAGTTTTTGTATCTCCCAACTTCTATTCTAATTCATGTACACTTAGTTGAAATTTACAAATCATGCCTTTGTTCATTATCTAAAATTGATGAAAATCAAATGGTCTTTTGGCTCAAATTACTTTACAGAAAATACCTATGTGTAGACTGGCCTCTATACGTCAAAAGCGCGGTTATGTATGTAGTTATATCCTGCATTTTGTTAATGTTAGTTGGGAATAATATTTATATTCATCCTGTCCTTAGGCAAGATTATAATTTCCAGTTTTTACCCGGCCAGAATACGCATTTAAAAAATCCTCCTGCCCCCTTTCTGCAAATCAAATAGTGTCCCCTTCTTTTCTAGCACTGGGTCGATACCTCTGCTGTTGGACTGCGAGTCTCCGTATGTAAAATTAGTCTATTTGTGAATTGACGAAACGCAATACAAGAAAACAAAAGCAACGTTTCGATAGATTGAAACGATCCTCTTCAATTAGCCTATGCATTTTTGTAGTATCACTATGGTTAAGGCCAACCTTCTAGTATTCTAATATTCTAACATACTAGAAGACACCTGCACAATCGGTGGCATGCTAATTTGATTAACAGATATATTTATAAACTTCAACTTGTTAATGTAGTAACAGATGTAGGGAGCTACTTTCTTCGGTTCAATTGCTAAAAGCTTTTGTCATTGGTCCATTAACCAATTTTATCTTAATTTAAAAACGATGTCGAAGAAATTCGTAAATCATTTCCCTTTCCCATCTATTCCTATAATAATTCCATTTACTAGATTGAACTGTTATGGTGCAATAAAAACATCTGTCGCTCCTTTTTCTAGAGGTATTTCTGGCAAAGGAGAGGCAAATCAAATACAATCTAGAGCTTGGAAGTTTTGTTGATTGATTGATAGATGTTGGCTTAACGTCCAGTGGCAAATATTTCATGCATGTCCAGGACGAAGAAAGTTTTGTCATGGTAAATACCAAGGAATATATTTGAGGGATGAGGGTCTAGAGTTCTGTAATATGCTTAACAATCTACAATGTAAAGGGTTGGGGAACGACCTCAAACACTGCCTTGGGGGGGGGGGGGGGGGGGGGAGGGGGGGGGGGGGGTAATGCAACAATGGGCCAACTATCAAAAGCACACATCAAAGATTATAAAAAGTTATGCTCTTACTAGAATATGCTCAATCGTATCAAAATGTTTTACCTTGAAGACATGGTCACATGAAGATCAAGACACACCATCATATTGTTATACACCTTCATGCAAAATATCACAAGCCATTGTCAAAAGGTGAAAAAAACATTTGGCCACTGCCAAGGTTGCTGTATGTGAATGAGAAACATAAAATAAAGGCAGCCTAAAATAAAAATGCTACTTAAATCATTGAAAGGGTGACATGATAATGTAACAATCTAGATGATCTGAAAAATTATATTAAATAGGAAGAAGACAGGCATGTTTAATATACACGGTGTTCAGGTCGCAATGATCAATACAGACCCATATAAGTATCCATCCAAATTACATACTATCCAAACTTTTTGTGAAATGATCAGAATTAACTTTGATTTAACTTATTTTAAATGCCTCTTGAAACCTTTAAGGGTTTAGTTCATTATCATTTTGCAGACAGTTTTTTAAGATATGTATAAAAGTAGTATGTGTCATATCGGTATTCAATTTTATTTATTTCACAATATTGTTAAATCTTATTTTCTCTTTTTATTCATTTATATCAGCCAGTTAAGTATTTAAAAATTGACACAAATAGCTTCCAATTGATGTTCTTTAACCTGAATGGGCCGTCTAGAACTTGTAGTCAGATTAGAGAGTTTGTTTCATGTTGAAGGCATCACTTTGACTTTGATATAAAGAACAGCAATAAAAGTGTTGATCCTTTGATTTGGGGCTTTAAATTTGCATGCAGTATCAAAAGCCTTAGATAAATGATAATAAATGGATTACTGACTTAAATGGCTTGGTTGCACATCATTAGTACTATCAGTACTACACGTGTAATTGTATTTGAAAAACAGACCAAAACACAAAAACTTGACATTGACCAATGAACCATAAAAATGAGGTCAAGGTCAGATGAAACCTGCCAGACTGACTTTTACCCATAACAATCATTCCATACACCACATATAGTTGACCTACTGCTTATAGTATTTGAGAAACGGACCTAATCATGTAACTTTAACCTTGATCAATGATCCATGAAATGAGGTCGAGGTCAAGTGAACCCTATCTGGTGGACATGCAGACATTGCAAGGAACCCATATACCAAATATAGTTATCCTATTACTCATAATAAGTGAGAAATTCACATGAGAAAAATACTATATTTTTTGTTTCCAAGAAGTCGCTGAACCATGAAAATGAAGTCAAGGACAATGGACATATTACAGATTGAAACTTCGTAACATAAGGTATCTGCATACAAGATATGAAGCATCCAGGTCTTCTAACTCCTAAATTATTAAGCTTTAGACAATAGTTTACGCCTCCGCCGCCATATAGAAATACTTAGGTCTCGCATACTGCGAAGTTCATCGCAGGCAAGACAAAAAATATATCAGTTGGTAAAACATAATACATAAATAATGACAGATTTAACCACAAAATACTTACGATAGTAATCATGATAACAATTACTGATTTGAAAATGAAAATTTTTTAGCACTAATACTCATTTTTATGATTGATATGACAAGGGTTGTTATATATTTAAATGATGATAAAGAGCAATTGTCATCGAGGAAAGTCACAAATCTACAGTTGTCTTTATCTTAAGAGGACTATACTTTTCCCATAGGACAGTTTACACAATAAGATTGATAAGTAATTCTAAATATTTTTCAAATTGACATTCTAACTAAATTGGAATAATCAGACTGTTGACATCAAACCAGATAATTCATTTTGACTTTTTCTATATAATGGAATAAAACTAATATTTAGAGTAAAAAAAAGTGAGTTAAATGTAATGAAAATGACTATTCAAAATTTGTTTAATCATTGTTTAATAGTGTAATGTTAGTATATTTATGTGTTCATCATTAATTGATAAAGTAATGATTCGGATTAAATAAGAATAATTAGTCTATATATTTGGGCACAGGACATTTGCGCAATTTTAACTGTAACACAATAGGACATTTGCGCTCCAAACACTTTGGACATTTGCGTTTTAAATTTTGATACACCAGTATTAAACTGACCGGACATTTGCGCTTTTTACCTATAGTCATTTACCTGTAATTTTAATGAGTTGTAATCATTACGTAAATAAATTTAACTTATAAACTTGTCGTTAGTTAGTTCACATTGACACAGTCTTAAACATAGAGTTTAAAGTTATAGAGATAGGTAAAGGAAAAAAATGTATACATCACGATGGATTTTTATCATTGAGACTAGAATATGTATTTGAAATGAGGGCAAAATACCAGTCAGGACAGATTACAAGAGCAAAATTATTCATTCCTTGGGCTTCAGATATCAAGCAAAAACTGATCTGTGATGACTATAAGTGTCTTTTAGGTCTTTATAATGTTAACTTTAAGCTATATTTATAACTATAACAATGTGCTATGAAATGACTTTTAAACACGAATGTGCTATGGAATCACTATTTAACTTTTAACCATAAAGAAAAGTATGACTTTAACTCTACCAGGTCAAACCTGCCGGTCCTCGGACGGGAGGTGTATAAGAACCAATTTATTGTAAAAGCACAAATGTCCTATACAAAAAGCGCAAATGTCTTTTTTTTAAAGCGCAAACGTCCCACACTGTTTTATTTGCACTAGTGTGGGGGACTTGTCTGTCCCCTTAGGGTGTTTATTTAGCAATATGATTAGAAGCAATTATAAATCAT